CTGTTAGGTTGCTTCTGATTTCAAAGGGCAGAGCACGAGATGGGGCACACAGGAGAATTTAGAGGGTCCTTTATAAGGCAGCGGCCATTCCGTTCTCTGACACATCAGGGCACAAGGACAACGGAAGATTTTAGAACGGTTTTTGAAGTCCTGGTGGGGCTGGACCTCAATATCTGGGAAGTAAGACCTGCTCCAAAGCATTGCTTCTTCATGTCGCCAGTTTGAGAGACATACAGTATAAGGCTCAAGCAATGGTAGTGACTTTTTCTAAGGTTGCACAGTTTAAGTCACGTAGTATTCCTTTTCCAAATCCAACATGTATTCGATAGCGCTCTATATCTTAGTGTACTAGAACTAATCTACTAAAATATTCACGTAGCAAAGAAAAATGGGAATGAAAAAAAATCATGTGCAGTGTGTCAGAATTAATGTGCCCAGTGAACATTAACTTTTGTATTTCTAAGACTTTTTTTAACCTTGTCACCTAGTGGTGTACTGAGGCCGCTTTTTACATTTAGCATCTTTCTTTTTTAAAGTTCAAAGACAAAATGAAGTAAGGATGGGAGGGGTAAGTGGAAGAAAATAAAAGAGGACCAAGAGCAATAGAGCTGAGTGCTTTGCTTGCTGGGTAAAGCTCATAAACACCTTGAACTAATAAATTCATACACAGGGTGAAATTCAGAGCATGCAGGCATGGAAGGCTATGCAATAATTATGAAAATAAAAAAAGGACTTACTGAGATTGAAGTGATGCATGTGCAGAGCTGACCCTTAGTCTTAAATGAAATTCACTCTCTCGTGACTGCTCTTCTAAGTGGGTTTGAGTAAAACGTTAATACATTTGCATGAAAAAGCCCACGTCTGTTTTATTTTAATTTTTAGCATTTTCATCTTTGCTGCACATGCGCTGGACCCTGTGCTTAACAGTGAGCAGTCTTTATTAATACCTTATTTTAACAAACATATAACGTTTGTGATGTTAAAGGTCTTTGAAAATCCAAACTGTAAGAATGATTTGGCGAACGCTGAAATTGAGGAGCTAACTCTATTCTGCCCCCAGCTACAAATTACGGATGAAGCTTTTTATGCTCTGACTCAAAAAGAAGTAATGAGAATTTATTTTTGGCAACAAACCAGCTGGGGAAAATTATATTCCAAACGGCAAATTTTGTGAGAATTGAGAGTGTGAGAACAAAAGAGAGAAAGAGAAAAGGGTGGTTTGGGATGGGCACCGTTTCCCCAGCGTAGCTGTGTTGGGCATGCTAAACACCTGCTCTATCAGGTTAGAGAGGACATCGAAACCATCGTGGAATCTGAATGCACCGAATCCATCTTCCAGGTGTTGGTGTATCCTCCCTCCTCTGTCTGCCCGAGTCCTGCACAGATGCTTTTTCCTGAGAGCCCAGGGGCTCTCTAAGATTACACAGGTCTTTCTGCACTAGAGTTTATTGCAAGAGGTGGTCTGCTGGCAGCTCCCCAGTGGAGCACATCGTTAGAGTTGAGGTGACAAACTTTAATCTTAACAGGAAAATAAATCCCAAACATCCTCGATTCAAGAAAATAAACCTGTATCTGCTGTTTAAAAATTGGTATCTTATAAAATACCCCAGCTACAAATTACGGATGAAGCTTTTTATGCTCTGACTCAAAAAGAAGTAATGAGAATTTATTTTTGGCAACAAACCAGCTGGGGAAAATTATATTCCAAACGGCAAATTTTGTGAGAATTGAGAGTGTGAGAACAAAAGAGAGAAAGAGAAAAGGGTGGTTTGGGATGGGCACCGTTTCCCCAGCGTAGCTGTGTTGGGCATGCTAAACACCTGCTCTATCAGGTTAGAGAGGACATCGAAACCATCGTGGAATCTGAATGCACCGAATCCATCTTCCAGGTGTTGGTGTATCCTCCCTCCTCTGTCTGCCCGAGTCCTGCACAGATGCTTTTTCCTGAGGGCCCAGGGGCTCTCTAAGATTACACAGGTCTTTCTGCACTAGAGTTTATTGCAAGAGGTGGTCTGCTGGCAGCTCCCCAGTGGAGCACATCATTAGAGTTGAGGTGACAAACTTTATAATCTTAACAGGGAAAATAAATCCCAAACATCCTTGATTCAAGAAAATAAACCTGTATCTGCTGTTTAAAAATTGGTATCTTTTAAAATACGTTTTTAATTAAACAGGAGAGCTCAAGCTTTAAGGTGTTCCTTCATTTTTTGGCTGAACAAACTCTTTGCAAAATTAAGCTGAATTGTGCAGAAATACTCATGGCCAAGGACATAAAGATACAAATCAATACAGGGGGGGGGGGGAAAATCCAGATTCTTTGCCATCCCAGATCTCCCTATGAACCTGAAGCCTATGCAGTACTTCAACATACACTTTTAATCAAGGATATAATGAAGGGTGTGCTCAGGTCACTGAAATGAACAAGATGGCTTGTCTCTAGGTTTAATTAAAAGATCGAATTGTGTACAAAATTCTCACTTGTTTCATGTATGTTGTCATTACAAGTGGTCTCTTGTCATGCAGCTCTATGGACTTCTCTCGTGAACCTGTACTTTAGTCTGTACGAAGGGGTAAAAGGCACAAATAGGACATTAATGTCCTCAAGCAACTTTCTCTCTTGCATAGATTTCCAGCTAACTAGAAATCTGCTAACTTCTGAAAAATGTGGCTTTAGCGAGCATGGACTGACTTTCAGTGTCTCACCACCCCCGTTCCCTTTAATGCCCTTGCGGTTTTTTATCTATAACTGTACGGTAGACTAAATTCACTGAAATATTTCCAACAGATACTTAATTACAAGCATGTGCTTAAATCCTGCTGGCCACAACAGGAGTTGGTAAGTGTTTGTAATGCTGTGGTAGGTTGGGATGAGGTCTGTCTGCCTTGTTGGTTCAGGATGTTTCCAATGGGGCTTTCTGTGTGCTTTCTGTCTTGTACCACCAAAACTGTACTCAGCTGCCCAGGAAGAACGGGTTGTCCTTTGATAGCTGTCACTGGAAATGTGGTGCCTGGGCATGCAGAGGTTTGACATCTATTCATCCTTGTCAGGCAAAATTGCACGGGGCCGTCTCGTTAGTAGTGTCTTGACAGCAAGAATGCTTTGCCCTGTGGGATTCATGGGGGTTTTTGAGTGATTACAGAGTGGACAGACATCATGAATGCTTTTGGGTTGCCCAGTGCCGTGAACGAGATGTACAGCACTTCCCAGGAAAAAGTGAGTGACGACTTACTGCATTATCGGTCACCTGGACCTGCTCTATTTTACACCTGCCTTTGCCGGGTCACATTGATGTGAAAACAAGCTGTGGAGGTGTTTCTTGTTTTAATCAAAAAGCCAGATAGTTTAGGCCAAGAGCAGAAGGACTGCCATCGGGGATCAAAGCAGATGGACTGGGGGTCCATCCAACCATGGATCTCCACTGTAAAGTTTAAGCAAAGTGATTGTTTACCAAGTAATTACTCCCACCTTTTGGCACTCAGAAGGTTAAGGATGTCCTGCAGAAACAGCTGCATCTGAGTTTGCACATTTAATGATCCACAACAGAAATATCTTCTGTGAACTTAGGGGATCCTTTCTATATGTCCGTAGCATCCTTTGGCAAGGCCTTCCATAGAGTAATCCGGTCGTCTTCCTGTTTTTTCTGTGATTGGAAACTCTCTGTAGGGCTATTGCTACGACACGCTTGAGGTCAATATTGCAGGCTATCTGCAGAAACAAAAGCACAGTTCTTCAGAGCTGTTCATTAGCATGAATCGGAGCTGATGCTCTCAGGGCTCCGTAAGGAGAAGACCGTTGCGTGGGATAAGCGATAATCTGTGCGAGTTAAATTCCGTCAGTTGTGCCTGTCTTTCTTGGCAGTGGCTGAGTGGTGCTCGGTGCAGAGAGGGGTGTTAGCAATGCTCGCGTCACAGCAGGTGCAAGGGTTGCTGGTGTCTCTTCAACAGGGTCCTGAGGGCTCAGTGAGGCTTGGCTGCCCTTTATTCCCGTTGCAGATGAAGAAAATGAGCTCCTTGTAGAAAATGCAGAGTTCTTTGGTCTTTAATGTGGAAGGCGGTGAATACACTGAAGAGACGTAATACAATTCTAAATGAGAGGCCTTTGTTTTCTCTGTGGTTCCCTTTGTTTACTCTTTATGTAAAATCTGGTCCATAGAATTCAGCTGCTGCAGAAAACTTTCTGTGATCATTTAATTCTCTGGTATACCACCATTTCTTTTCATCTACCACTCTTAACAAACATACTGTGCATGGCTCATTAAGGCAAACCCCCAAAATCCCTCATTTTCTCAGTGCTATTAGCCTTTCAGCTGTCATATCACCTTTTATTGAAATTCTGCCAAGTCCTCCAAGCTAAGCCGTGTGAACACGTATCAGTAGGGACCTCCAGGAAGCACAAGCTATTTCAGGGTCTGGCCTACGTTTCTCTGAATCCGCTCTGAACAAAGCAGGGTGGGAGGAGAATAACACGGGGGTGTTAGAGAATTTGCATTTTACAGAGGTACATCATGTTTCTTCCCATTTCCGGTGATGAAAAATCCCAAGTGGCTTTCCGTAAGAAAAATACTGTGTTGTCTTGACTCATCTATAGTGCTGAGCAAATGCATTTTGGGTACGCTATACAGTAGTTTTAGTTATTCTGTGTGATGCTGCCTTTCTTCTCAGTTTCTGCCCTTTGTTTTTGACTCACATGCTTGGCCTCTCACTAGGAATGATGACACTTCACCGTCAGCTGAAGGTACGGCTGCTGGAGGTACAGGACCATCTCCCCCCCGGCACCCTCAGCTACTGACTCTCCTTCTGTATCTATCCCATGTGATACCAAACTTCTGTTATCCCCATTTTCATAGACGAGGGATGAATAATTGAGGGACTTGCCCATGAAAAGAGCATCATACACGCGCTGCCTTGCTTCCAGGCCATAATTGACAAATTCCCTGGTGTGGGGCTGAAATTTGTTTTAACTGTCTCATCACATTTCCTGTTCTCATTTTCTCTTGCAGACTAACAGCTAAAGCCGTGGCTGTTCTCTTACCCATCTTGGGAAGCTCTTGGATCTTTGGGATTTTGGCTGTCAATGCCCACGCATTAGTATTTCAGTATATATTTGCTGTTTTCAATTCACTACAAGTAAGTACCTGGGGGGGAGGTTTATGGCTACCGAACTGCTGCCAAGATCCAATAAATGGATCATTAGTAATGTTTTTCACATGTTTGTGTTTATTGGATTTTTTTCTGTGTTCCTTTCTCTGTCTTTTAAATCTGTGCTGACCATACAGTGCTGGCAATTGTTTAGTCTCTGCATGAACAGAACTTTTATCCCACTCCTTAGTGTTTCCAGTAGCAATGATTAAATAAATGAGACGGTGAGCTTGAGAAATGAAATTCGTTCTTCCAGCACCATGTACCACCGGCAAGATTCTTCAGTGGAGACACAAGAACAATTTTTCAGTGTCAGTTTGAGGCTTCATTACTGAGACTAAATGGAACTGAAGTTTGTGGGAATGGTGCGGCGTAAGGAGGAAAGTGGAGCTGTTCTGCGTGCTGCAGGAACCAGCGCGTGACTCGTGCACGCATGCACGCGTCTTCTTAAGACACCAGCCCAGAAAAGCAGCTCTGTCTGAGAAGGAATGTAGGCATCTGCCTAGCTTTGAGCAGATGTTTCAGTGACGGCAGAAATCGATAGGTTTGTTAGAATTCTTAACTGAACAGTGGTTACAAATGGAGGGGAAGAAATGGACTCTGGTAAATCCTTTTCTGCCTTAGGACCAAACACCACTATGGTCACAGAGAGAGTGTGACAGAGTTCCTCCCCTGAGCTGATAAGAAGAGTTCCAATTTTCATCCAAAATAAAAAAAACCTTAAGTTTGGCTGGCTACTTCCGAAAAAGAAAATAATTGGACAAAATCCTAAAGATAGCAGAATTCTCTTGTGAAAATTTTCCTAATGCTTGCTTTTCGAAAAATACATCTGTTGTTTCCCAAATTGCGTTTCCCTCTGTCTTTATCTTTGCAAACACAGACAAAAACTTTTCCTCTTCTCATAAAAATAGAAATCCTGGTTCTTTTCAGCCAGGTTTTTCTCCTCTAGCACCCCAAAGTTTGGGAGTGGCTGTTTTACAGGGAAAGGTCCAGCCAAGCCTCACAGTAAGCTGGTGCTGGTTTGGTCTGTTCTTTCATATTTATAGATCCCCAGCTACTCAATACCCACTTTATACAAGAGAAATACATTATTGTATTTCATTTTTCACAGTCCATCTTCACCCTTCTCCCTTTTATATGTTTTTCAGGGATTTTTCATGTTCCTGTTTCACTGTCTTCTGAATTCAGAGGTACGTAACCCAAAGGTGTTAACAAACTCAGTGTTAGCAAATTCAAGTAACATGAGCATAGAACAAGAAATTACTTTCTCCATGCTGTGCTGATTTCTTTTGTCTTCCAATTAACACATGACTGCTAGTGACTCTGTGACTTGGGTGTTTTGACCCATGATTGAATTTATTTTATTTAACATAAAAAAGGGGCTTTTTTTCAAAAGAAGGTAAGAGAAGGCAGCTCAACACCAAGGGAAGAAGCACTCCTGAGGGCTGGAGGGGCTGAGCAGGGAGTGGGTTGGGCTGCTCAGGGAGGATGCAGCAATAGTGGGAGCAAGACGCAGTCTGGCAGCCCCCACTGCAGGGCCTCTGGCTTTGTTACATCTGCAGTTCCAGAGAGGAAAATAAATATTCTCAGCAAAACATACTTTTGGAAGTTGCTCATGCAATCCTTAATGGGAAACCAAAGAGAGTAGAACACAGTCCAAGTAGTTTTTTTGGCGGGAAGTTCAGGTTTTCAGAGTGGACCAAGAATTGCCTTAAGGCTTGCTCAGAGTGACAGGGCTAAAGCTGACGTCAGTGGGGCTGGTGGAGCCCACCTCTGCGGGGCCTGGAGCTTGCAGCATCCTCTCCTCCCATGGCAGACAGTAGAAAATCCTCAGCAACATGTAGTACTGACAGTGCAAGTTTCTTAGGAAAACCATTTCCAGCACGCTGACGGGGGGGTACTGCTCAGCGAATTCCCACAGGGCTTTGATTCTCCCACAGCAATTTCTGCTGGATGCTGCTGAGCTCTGCCCCATAGCCTGCTGCTTCTTGTAGCGCAACAGTACCACTCCAACTCTTCTGTGGAGACGTCATTATTTATTAGTATTTGCCAACCTACTCAGTCTTAGGGATTTGATGTGATCTCTGCTACATTCAGTTTGGAGAGTCAGGACTGACTATGAAATTCTTGATCTTTCCTGAGATAAACTGAAGTTTAGTAGGCAGTTCAAAGGTAAGGAGGAAAAATGTGTCTTTATTCTATTGTCCCCCGGGCTCAGAAAGCTTTCTTCCTGCTGTCAAGTTTGAAATGCCTTACACCAAACACAAATATTTGAATTGCTGCCATTTTTCCAGGAACCTCATGAGAAAATAAATTCGGTAACTTTTCAGAATTTGTATCCTCAAAAAACAGTTCCTATCTAGCTAATGAAAACTGTCATTTTTGGAGAGCAGGTCTTACTGGCTCCATTGTAGGCTGTGTGTATCTAAAATACTACTTCAGCTAAATTGTGTGAATTCTTCTTGAGAATTTTGCTCTTACTGTAGAAGTAAAACTCAGATACTGTAAAGCAAAACCTGCAGATATTTCCAAGCAGTTGGGTATAAAAAAAAGAGAGCTTCATTCCAGCGTGCCTGGACAAGAAATACAGACACACTGTAAAGAAGCACAGGAGAAGGGGTGTGAGGGGACCAGAGCAGCTCGCATCCAGCGTGCTGCCAGTCTCACCTGGACAGCTCGGAGCCCCTCGACCTCCCTCAGCGGTTTGGCTGGGTGCCTCACTAGCCTCTACTGCCACTCCTAAACTGCAGTTCTCGTCTTTCGTACTGCAGTTTGAGCTTGTTTCCTGGTTTAGCTACTGTGCGTGTAAAGGGTAGATCATGCCCTTCTCTGCGGCAAAGGGAAGACTGTGAGGCTTATCCTGTCTTCCCCCAGTCTCCTCTTTCGATTAAACAGCCTGAGCTCCATGTAAGGTATGGTGACCTGTGAACAGCCTCGCTGCTCTCCTCAGCACTGTCTCCAGCTGGTCCCTGTTTTTCCTGGGATGCTGGACACAGTGCTGTAGCTGAGGCCATGTCAGGGCAGAAGGGGCAGGAAGGATGACTATGTGTGTTCGCCAGACTCTGTTCCTCCTGACAAGATATTGATAAATCTCACCTACTAGCCCAAAGAACAACTGCCTTACCATCTTTTCCTTAAGCAGCTGATCGTTTTCACCTTGGTGCAGAATCTTCCTACATCTCTAGGAAATTTCATCCAGCCTCTTTAAATAATTTCAGTTTTCTAAAGGCTGGCAGCTGGCTTCCATCCTCGTGGCATCTGGGTACCATCAGCCAGGGAGAGCCTGCGTGAAAGGGGGAGCTTGGGGTCCAGCCTGCTCAGACAGTGTGAAAGGGTCCTGGTGAGCTGCTGAAAATCAGTGTCATGGCACCAGAACTGCAAATGCTGGGGCTGTATGCTTGTATGCCCTGTGCTTGGGGTTTTTTTGCTTTTATTATTTTCTATTTTTAACAGGATGAATGGTAATACAGTCCTACCTTGGACTTCTAGGAGGAGGGGATAACCCAGATAACATGAAAATGTTGCCAATGAAATGGGAAATATGTGAGGTTATACAATGCTTTGTATTTAAAGTATGGGTACTTGAAAAGTAAACTTAAATTTTAAAATAAGACCAATAATATAAAGAAAAACGTAGGGGTGAATTGTTTGCCCTTTTTTTTGGTAATACAATGATGTTAATGTGGAGGAAGAATAATGGAGAATGATTGTAAGCTACAACTGTGAGAATAAACACAACTCTCCTATCTTCTTTCATTTTTTCCCTCAAAGGTTAGAGCTGCCTTTAAGCACAAAACCAAGGTCTGGTCCCTTACCAGTAGTTCGACTCGCAACATCAATGTGAAACCCTTCAATTCAGACATTGTAAGTATTCCTCCTTTTGGCTTTTTAACTGTTGTACTTCAAAGTGTTCCACGTGAATTCCATTAGAAAGACCAGGACATAAGAAGGCAGGATTTTTCCATTTTGGCAACGTATTTGTCTGATGTTGATGGCTTTTTGATAGGGCACTTTTACATGTAAGCCTGAGGAATAAACTGTTAAATAAGTCAACATGTGACTGTGCTTTTCTAACTCTCCTTAGATTGTCTTGAGGCCAGAGACATTTGTTCTTCTAAAGAACCAGCCTGCTGAGGTGATAGGTATTATTAAGTGATCTCTGCCAATCGCCTTAGATCCTGGCAATAACTGTTTAAAAATCCTTTATGGCATATGCTCTCAAGACTCTGCGACAGCCCTGTAATGTAAATAGATGCTTTCAAGGTTTTATTTCATCCAGACAGGAGTGGTTTAGCAAAATAGATAAATCTATTTTCAATATTATTTTGTTTTCCAGATGACTGGGAACAGGCCAGGCACAACCCCCACGAAGCTGAACACCTGGGATAAAAGCTCCAACTCAGCCAACCGCATTGATTTATCCGCAGTCTGACAGTAATAGCAGCTTCTTGGTGAGAATCAAGCCATACATTCAGGAACTCTGACACAGTGCCCACCCGTTTTTTCTCAATGTTCGTACCAGAAGAGAACTGCTTTTATAATCACTGCCTAATAAATTGGAAATTGCCATATTTTTTGTTGAGTAAATAGCCCTCATCTGCTTGCCTTCGAGACTGTAACACATTCTACCGCTTGGCGATCAGTATCCAAAAATCACCAGCCCAAAGATACACTGGATGGTTTTGTCAGCAACGATGAAAACATGAGTTGCCCAAAAAGGGCTTCTTGCTACCTGAATCATTCCACGGAGGAAAGGTAACATACCTCTGGAAAGATGTATTTTTATGCTCTGAAATGAAATGCTTCCCATTGTGATGTTGTAATGGGGCGATTCTGGTCTTGCTGGGCGCTCTCTGTTTACATTTATTACCTTACAGGATCCAATTACCGAAGTGAAGCTCATGCAAAACACGTAGTGTGGTGATTAATTAAAATGCTACAAGGAAACCAGGACTTGAGGGAAAAGCGAGTTCCAGCTACTTGGCTCCCAGCCTGGGTGTGGAATGAGCAGAGCTAATCTACACATGTCTCTGTGCTCATGAACAGCGTACGTAACACGTGATGCTTCTCTTGGTGGCCTGTTAGTATGTCAGGCAGTCCTGTTTACATCCTCTCGCTGAAAGGCAGAATGGCTAACACTGTCCTGCAGCAGCCCACAGCATTTCTGTCGCTGATTTGTGTCTGGAGTGGCAGGAGAAGGGGTAACCTTCTTCAAGGGGTAAAGTTCTTCCCAGAGAGGTTGGGGAGCACTGGAACAGGTTGCCCAGGGAAGCTGTGGATGCCCCATCCCTGGAAGTGTCCAAGGCCAGGCTGGACGAGGCTTGGAGCAACCTGGTCTAGTGGAAGGTGTCCCTGCCCATAGCAGGGGGGTTGGAACTGGATGAGCTTTAAGGTCCCTTCCAACCCAAACCATTCTGTGAAGTATTGGTATTGCTTTGCCTGAAGCTTCTGGATGCACTCCGCAACTCTCCATCAAGTGCGTTTCACAAACGCACTGTAGCTTTTGGAAATCAAAACCTGGCACTGTGACTTATCCTTCTCCTTTTACTGGTCACATGGAGACACTGAATTCCAACCACGTAAATGTAACACAACGATATAATGTGAAGACAGCCAGACTACAGACAAGTCTGTGCATTGTTACCTACAGACAGCTTTTAAACAGGTCTCTGCAGAGTCTTTTTGTGGTTTTCAACTTGACTCAGCACATAATAGCTGCTGCTTTAGTACTGCTATGAAGTATCTTTAAGGAGAAAAAAGCGCACTGTCATTTTCTTTCGACCAGTGTTTTGTAGGCTCTCAGCGCTGACGTTCGGGGCACAAGGGGCTGCAGTCTCAGCTGCGCCAGTCGTGCCCCTTTCCAGCTGGGGGTAAAGCAGACTCCAAGCCCCAAAGCGGTCACAGCCCCTAAATGCGTGTCTTGCTCTAGGATTTACTTGGCAGCCAGGGTCTCCCGAGCAGTTTCCAAAGATGAGCTCCCCTCCCTCTTTCCATCCATGTCTCCTTATCTCCAGCTCTTCCTTACTTGTAGTAGCTGTCTCCCTTCCAGACTGGGTATACTGGTTTGCAGGAATCACCAAGGTAGTTAGCCTTCCTAATACACTGGGCTATCAAAATACTACAGAAGGAGGGAAACGTGCAAATCTTAAATCTTATCTTTTGCTAAGAGGGTTTTTTGTGGGTTTCTTCCCTTAATTAAAGGTTTGTATCTTCAGCAGCTTAGACCAGATGCGGTGTCGGTGAATCTAGCATGATATCTGCTATCGATTTCCAAGAGAAAAGGCATTTGCACCCTGATGTGCAGGGTGGAAATTGTTTATTGGATAGTAAATTTATAAAAAAGAAAAGTAAATTGATCTTTAGGCAACAGGAAACATTCATCAATTAGGACCGAATTTAGAGAAGTGTTTCATCCAAAAGAAATGGAGCTGAAAGTTTGGAAAGCATTAATGCATTTCATTTTTCATTGATCCAAACCAACTTTCCTCCTTGTTTCCTTCCTGCACTATGAAAAAAGGGCTGTTTCGGTTTGTACCAACCTCTTCCACCTCCTGTGCCCTCCCTCCTTCCTGGCCAAGGCTTGCTGGTGTGGTCACCCAGCAGAAACCCCACAGGCCACCCAAGCTGGTCTGTGGCTACAAAACATCCTGCAGAAATGATCTGTTTTACCAGATTTCTGCTGGATCCATGCTGCTGGAACAGAGCAGAGTGTGGTGCGTATCACACATCCATCAAACGCGTGGGTTTCTAATCTTGTGTTCCCTACTGCTAAGTAACTCCAGTTGTGGACAGCTAGCTCTAAAAGGTGGGTCAGTAAAAGGTGAATATCTAAATAGCCATGTCTTTATTTTGGCTTTTGTGTACGGCTTTTTCCTAGCCTTTTCTGCATCGGACAGTCTTACGGCCGTGCAAAGATACGGCTTTTCTTGGCCGAGAATGATTATATTTTTTTCCCCAAAAGACACGGGAGAAGGAGCCCTTGGAATGTATGGAGGAGATTGTACCAGAACAGTACTGTGATACAGAGTTCAGTGGTTGTATTGTGTGCAGACAACATTTAAGCATATTTTTTATACTGGAGCATGTGGTTTTTTGTTGTGGTTTTGTTTTGGTTGCTCTTTTTTTAAAACTGTGACTGCGGCTGTAGACTGAAACCCTTCATGATTCGTTTCTCTTCTAGTCATTGTCTTACAGCACAAACCGCTCTGTGAGTGAAACAGGGGACATATAAAAGCTTTCCTTTTTTTTTTTAAATCTTAATTTTAAACCATATTCCCTCTGTACAGTTTTCAGTGCCTGCATTTCCTCCTCTGCTGCTGCGTACTGCTCACCGATGTCAGTGCCCAAGGTCCGTGTGAAAGTTCACACGCGGCACTCGAGTGCCAGTGCCAGAGAGCAGCAGTACAAAGGGCTAAATCTGCTTCTCAGCCAGGTACACCCTGTTGTAAAATTGTTCACCAAAAATCAGGAGAGCATGGAAGTATTTTTGGTTCTGTACTTTAGAAAGTGACATGGATGTGTTGCATATTGCGGGAGCAGTTATTCCCCTGTATCTGCTGAGATCCACTGTGGATAAACTGCATCCCGTGCTTTAACTTCTGAACCTGGCTTGTGGTGCAGAAGTTTATCTTCTTGTTTATGTCGCAGGAGGTTAGGAGCCAGAACACTGTATTTATATTACTACATTGGGAATGGGGTTTCTTCTGGTTTTTTTATAAAGCAGTCAAAAACCACAAAGTACAGATGTGTTCCATTGCCATCTAAGTCCAGTCGTTCTGTTTGATTCGATGTATTTTGTGGTTACTGAATGCAGCAAATATACTGAATAAGAAATGCTCGAACGCATCTTTAACCAATCTCTTTCTGTCCTCAGTCTTTTGAAGCCTGAAAATCTTGCAGTTTATTTATGGGCTTGTATATAGCAGCTTTTGCAGTATTTTTTTTCAGGACAGCATCGTTTTGTCAATGGTATGAAATCTTAATTGAATGAGATGTGAGTTTTAAAATAGGTAATGTAGCAAGAATTTCTTTGCCAGTAAGTAGTAAAATAAATTTAGTTTCGTTGGGTTTTTTCCCCAAATAAATAAGAAGTCTTAATTTCCTAAAACAACTTTGTATTGGTTCAGTTTTTTCTTTTGACGTGGGTTATAAACAACAGCGTAAAAATGATGGCTGCCTTGGAGTACTCCTGTGGGTAAACAAGCGGAGCTTTACTCACGTGAGCAGTCCTGATGTCTGCGTCAGGTACGGCCGGGTAATGGGCGGACAGTGATTCTGCACTGAAGCTTCTACCTGCAGGATGTCCCGAGGAGTATCGTTCCCTTCCCTTTAAGAACGGAGCTTGGTTGATGAAGCAGCTGCTGCAGGTTATTTCTTCTAACCCAAGTATTCCAGCAACCTGGTCAAGGTAAATTTCTAGGTGAAAAAGTGACATTTATGGATATGACAAACAGATACCGTCTCAGACTTAAAGGGGAAACTTCTCATTCCACCAGATCTCTGAATACAGCAGTGTGTGTATGAGCATACGTACATATATATGCACACATGTGTATATTTGTATGTATGTTTACAGACCCTTTTAGTTAGATACACACATACATTTTACATATAAAAATATGCTTTTTTTTTTTTAAAATGTACTTACATCTTTCGGAAGTGTCTTTCTATCACCACACCAGCCTCTTCTCTGTTTCCTGTGGTTGGGGACAGACAATTTGCTGGGTACAAGAGGGATGCCCACACAAATTAACTTCCCACGGCAGCCGCCAAGTAGCTGTAGCACCTATCAACATGCTCTGGATGCCCGGAGCGCAGGCACGGTCAGAAAGGACGGCGTTTCAGAAACGTCAGGGTTTTGGCCATTGCTCTGCTGTTCCCCTGCAGCCTGACCTTCAGCAAGTCACTCTTCCTGACCGAATGGTTCTCCCACCAGTGAAATGAAGATAATGATTATGCTTTCTTTGTCAAGTCCTTGGAAATTCGCAGGTGACAAACAGCATTTATTATCAAATGCTGCCACACAGTAATTTTTTTCTTTCACCTATTGCTGGCTGCAGTGCTGAGGACAAAAGCATTATACGGTGCATCCCCTCACCTTCGCCCTGTCCCCCCCAGCCACCCCATTCACACAGTCACAGAGTGGTCGGGGTTGGAAGGGATTGCTAGAGATCGTCTAGTCCAACCCCCTGCCAGGGCAGGATGCCCTAGGGCAGATCACACAGGCATCACATATTTGTGCTCTGCTGTGTCCCGTTACAAAGGAAAACATCCGTTAATTGCTACAGCACTGGGACAGTTTTCTCCACTCTACTTCTCCCAGCAGCTACAGCGATGCCCACACTGTGGCTGCACACGTGGGAGCATCCCCGCACGTGAAGCCGGAATAGCTGCGCCACCCACGCTGCGTCGGGGCAAAGCAGGGAATGACCT